AGAGAAAGGAGGCTCATCCTCCATCACCTATCCGATGCTAAACGCTACAAACTATACAGTTTGGGCAATGAGAATGAAGAGAATACTGAGGGTTCATAAAGTTTGGGAAACTATTGAAGCAGAGGCGGTCGATGAAGAGAAGAACGATCTAGCCATAGCACTCTTGTTTGAATCAATACCAGAAGATCAAGTCCTTGAAGTAGGAGAACTTGATACAGCTAAAGAAGTTTGGAATTCCATCAAAGCTAAGCATGTAGGAGCAGAACGAGTTAGAGAAGCTAGGCTGCAGACTTTAGTGGCCAATTTTGACCGATTAAAGATGAAAGATTCAGAGACTATTGATGAATTTATGAAGAGAATAACCGAGATATCTTCAAAGTCTACAGCTCTGGGAACAACTATTGAAGGGCCAAAACTGGTTAGAAAGTTCCTTAAATGTCTTCCTCGACAAAAGTATATTCAGATTGTGGCTTCTTTGGAACAAGTACTCGATCTTAATACAACAAGCTTTGAAGAAATCGTTGGGCGTCTTAAAGCTTATGAAGAAAGAATCAAAGAAGAAGAAGATTCAACTGAACCTCAAGAAGAACAAAGCAAACTTATGTATGCTAATACTCACTCTTCTAATCAAGAATACAATGGAAATTACAGTGGAAACTACAGAGGAAGAGGAAGAGGAGGCAGATTCAATAGAGGAAGAGGCCGTGGGAGATATGGAGGAAGAAACATAGATTTCTCCCAAGTTACATGTTTCAGATGTGACAAGTTAGGTCACTTTGCAAGTCATTACCCGGATAGAATTCTAAAACTGCAGGAGACTCAAGAAACAGAGAAGAACACAGAGGAGGCTGATGAACTCATGATTCATGAAGTTGTTTTTCTAAATAAAAAACACTGTGTGCCTAGCAAGTTTGAGACAAACACTGATAAACAAGACATCTGGTATTTGGATAATGGGGCTAGCAATCACATGACTGGAGACAAGAGGTATTTTGATACACTAGACTCCACAATTACAGGAAAGGTTAGGTTCGGAGATGATTCTCGCATTGATATAAAGGGAAAAGGAACGATTGCTTTCATAGTTCTGAATGGGAAATCAAGGAAGATGATGGATGTGTATTACATCCCTGGTTTAAGAAGCAATATAATTAGTCTTGGACAAGCCACTGAAGCAGGATGTGATATTAGGTTACGAGAAGGATACCTAACAATGCAAGATCGAGATGGAAAACTGCTTGTCAGAACCGAGAGGTCTCCAAATAGACTGTACAAAGTAAGAATGGGATTGAAAGACGATACATGTTTGTATCTAACAGAGCAAGAGGATTCAAGTAGGTGGCATGCAAGAATGGGTCATGTCAACTTTGACACTCTAAACTCCATGATTAGTAAAAGGCTTGTAGATGGAGCTCCGAGTACACCACTTGAGAAGAAATTGTGCAGATCATGCTTACTAGGAAAACAAACTCGAAGAGTTTTCCCTCAGGCGACCTCATACCGTGCTACAAAGAAACTTGAGCTTGTGCACGGTGATCTTTGTGGCCCAATTACTCCAAGTACAAGAGCTGGAAACAGATATATATTTGTTCTTATTGATGATTTTTCAAGGTACATGTGGACAATTTTGCTGAGAGAGAAGGGAGATGCATTTCAGAAATTCAAAAACTTCAAGATGTTAGTAGAAAAAGAAACAGAGGAGAAGATACAAACTCTCAGAACGGATAGAGGAGGAGAGTTTGTATCTGCAGAGTTCAATAATTTCTGCGAGAACCATGGCATCAAGAGACATCTCACAGCGCCTTATACCCCACAACAAAACGGAGTAGTGGAGAGGAGAAACAGGACTTTGATGGAGATGGCAAGAAGCATGCTCAAGCATATGGAGATGCCAAATTATCTGTGGGGTGAAGCAGTACGACACTCAACATATGTGATTAATCGAGTGTCAACAAGGGCTCTTAAGGACAAAACACCTTATGAGATGTTTAGAGGCAAGATACCAAACATCGCTCACATCCGCGTGTTTGGTTGTATTGGCTATGCAAAGATCGAAGCTCCACACTTGAAGAAGTTAGATGACAGAACACGTGTTCTTGTTCATTTAGGAACAAAGCCTGGATCTAAGGCATATCGCCTACTAAATCCTACTACAAAGAAAATCACAGTTAGTAGAGATGTTATTTTTGATGAAAATAAAGGATGGAGCTGGAAGGTAGAAGATGTCATGAGAGATAGCAGTGGAAGTTTTAGAGTTATGACTGATGGTTTTGGAAATCATGGCCTTGATGAAAGCATGGAAGAAGAACAATCTGCAGAAAACAGAGATTTGCTAGATGATGCAGAGAACAGAGAAGAAGAAAACGAGATTGCTGAGCAAGATTTGACACCAAATTCGTCACCAATTGTGTTAAGAAAGTCAGAAAGGGAAAAACATATGCCAAAGTATCTTGAGGATTATGTACTCCTTGCAGAAGAGGAAGGAGAAGCATTGTTATTGTGTTTAAACAATGAACCAAGAAGTTTCGACGAGGCAAAGGAGTCCAAAGAATGGATACATGCGTGTGAAGAGGAATTAGGATCTATTGAGAAGTTGAAAACATGGAATCTTGTTGACTTGCCAAGAGGAGTAAAACCAATTGGACTCAAATGGGTGTTTAAACTAAAGAGGAACTCAGATGGAAGCATAAACAAGCACAAAGCAAGGCTAGTTGCAAAAGGTTATGTGCAACAATATGGTGTGGATTTTGAAGAAGTCTTTGCCCCAATGGCTAGAATTGAGACAATTAGACTATTAATTGATCTTGCTGCTGCATATGGTTGGGAAATCCATCATTTGGATGTTAAAACAGCTTTTCTTCATGGAGAACTTAAAGAAACTGTTTATGTGCAGCAACCTGAAGGTTTTCATAAGAGTGGGAGTGAAAACAAAGTTTACAAGCTCAATAAAGCTCTGTATGGTTTGCGTCAAGCCCCGAGAGCTTGGAATAACAAATTGAATACAATTCTACATGAGCTCAGATTCGTTAAATGCTCAAAAGAACCATCAGTGTATCGCAAGGAGATTGGTGAGCACCTGTTGATTATTGGAGTTTATGTCGATGATCTGTTTGTTACAGGAACAAGTCTAAAGTCGATTCTTGAGTTCAAGAAAGAGATGTCATCCAAGTTTGACATGAGTGATCTTGGCAAATTGACATATTATTTGGGAATCGAGGTGAATCAACATCCGGAAGGTATAACTTTAAATCAAACTCGCTATGCTCAGAAGATTCTTGAAGAAGCTGGAATGAAAGACTGCAATTTGACGCATACACCAATGGAGATGGGGCTGAAATTGTCTAAAGCAGAGGATGAGACAGAGATTGATGCAACAAGTTTTAGAAAGAATGTTGGATGCTTACGTTACCTACTCCACACACGCCCAGATCTGTCATACTGTGTTGGAATTCTCAGCAGATACATGCAAAGTCCCCAAGAATCGCATGGAGCAGCAATGAAGCATTGTTTGAGGTATCTAAAAGGAACTACAAGTCTCGGTTTAAGTTTTGGAAGAGCAAAGATACCAAAGTTGTTAGGATACAGTGACAGCAGCCACAATGTTGATCCGGATGATGGTAAGAGTACTTCTGGTCACATATTTTACTTAGGAGAAGGACCAATAACGTGGTGCTCACAGAAACAAGATGTGGTAGCTCTGTCTTCATGCGAAGCTGAGTTTATGGCTGGGACTGAGGCTGCAAAGCAAGCCATATGGTTACAAGATCTGCTCTGTGAAATCATTGGAAAGGCAAGTGTGAAGGTTACGATAAGAATCGACAATCAGTCTGCAATTGCCTTGACGAAGAACCCTGTATTTCATGGTAGAAGTAAGCATATACACAGAAGATATCATTTCATCAGAGAATGTGTGGAAAATGGTCAAATAGAGGTCGAACATGTTCCCGGGACTGAGCAAAAGGCAGACATACTCACAAAGGCACTTGGAAGGATCAAATTCAAAGAAATGAGAGATCTCATTGGTGTTCAAGATTCGAAGAAAGAAGAGTTCAAGCTTAAGGAGGAGATTGTTGACTTAAGCTTGAAGAAAGCTTGAAGTTTCCAAAACAAAGAAAAGGAAATTATCCTAATAAGAGATTAGGAAGTTATACTAAAGAGAAAAAAAAAATTGTTTAGAGGTTTTCTTATATAAGGAGATGCAAGTGTGTTGCATAACTTAAGTGAGTTTTAAGAGAGTTGTTTGGAGAGATTAAGAATTGGGTTGAGAGCTTAAGTTTTGAGAGAGTTTTTCTTAAGATAATATTAATAAAGAGAGTTATACTTTATTAAAGTCTTGTGTTCTTAATCTTATCATCTTGAAAATGATCGTATCGAAGATCACGGCATTGTGGCACATATCAACTTTTTAATTCGGGTTTTAATTTTTTTTACTTCTTACATGGATGGTTTGTTTGAGAAGAGTTAAAGCTCTACTTTTACGTAGTGTAGATAATTAAAGCAGCTGGTCTTTCTAATCCATTTTTAGATAAATTCTTCGTTACTCAAAAAGTAAGGTTTCTTAACTCTACTTATATAAATCTTTTTGGTATCTTTCACTATCGATTCCTCTAAATATCTTAAGATATTACTATGATGTATAATAGCTATGAAGATCATTTAATTACTCCTCACATCAATAGAGAAAATGAACCATTAGATGGAAACATACATTACATCAACATCTCCTTTTTCTTTCACACAAAAGAAACATATTTGTGGTCGTGGGCTCTGGTCTTGTCCATCTTTGAGAAATTAAACAACAACTTTACCAACTAATCTTCTTATATTAAATATGAATTAATCGCTCTAACAATATTTCAAATAGTTAATTATATATACCCAATTATATCATCCAACTGTTATCCTAACAATAATTCAAAAATAATTAATTAATTCACAATTATTTCCCCCTTCCTCTGTTTTTTTTTTCTTGCTCAACAATACATTGACGGTTTAATTCATCATCTTCTTGAACATGTTCTTTGAATTTTAAATCCAAAAAAAAAAAACCTCTTTTTCACATTTTCAAACAAAAAAAATGAGAATTGTTCTTGTCACTTTCTCTCTGCCTTCTTTGTTTCTTTAGTTCCTTGAGAAAAGAATGGATTTTTATGTTCATGAGCGAAACACAAATAAAAATTCTCATGTAAACAATACAGAAATCAAAACCCATTTGAGAAAAATGATTCTTGATTTGGGTTTTGGTTGTTTCCTTCTTCCTCGAACCAGCTCCTGTGAGGACAACAAAGCTTGGCTTCTGGAGGAGACAGAGCCGAAGTTTATAGACTCAGAACCACATTCGTTGCAGTCTTCATTTAGGTTTAGTCTTTGTTCGCAAGTGGAGCTGGAGAAGATGAAAAAGGAGCAACCTTCGTCGTCTTATCGGAATTTTCCGGTGTCTGAAGGATCAGAGACGGTTCTGCTAGTGAATCTGGAGAATGAGACAGGAGAATTGACGAATGAGATGAATTTTTCGAGAGGTCTTTCACTGGAGAAGAGTATTTCTCCTGTGGCTAATACTTTGGTCCGATTCAGTTACAGCGAACTCCTCGCTGCTACGCACAATTTCTCAAAACGTAAACCCTAAACCCTCAAAATGTCCATTTTTAGTAATTTGATATGTTAGGTCTTTGAATCAAGTTAAAGTTGAGGACTCTGTTTCTTGTGTTGAAATTGGTTAGGTAGAGTGTTGGGAAGAGGAGCTTGTAGCTATGTGTTTAAGGGAAGAATGGGCATTTGGCGTAAAGCAGTAGCCATCAAAAGACTTGATAAAAAGGATAAAGAATCTCCAAAGTCGTTTTGCAGAGAGTTGATGATTGCAAGCTCTCTTAAATGCCCTAACGTTGTACCTCTACTAGGGTTCTGTATTGATCCCGATCAAGGGCTTTTCTTGGTGTACAAGTATGTCTCTGGTGGCAGCCTTGAACGCTTTTTACATGGTAATTACTATATCTCCTCTCTTTCTTTTTCATTGGATTGCAAATTGTGCATAGATTGACCGCTTTTACTCGGTTCCGAATAAGATAACAAGAAGAAGAAGAAGGGAAGGAAAACCCCCTTGAATCTGCCTTGGTCTACAAGGTACAAGGTTGCCTTAGGTATTGCAGATGCCATAGCCTATTTACATAATGGCACAGAGCAATGTGTTGTGCATAGAGACATCAAACCCTCAAATATTCTTCTTTCCTCAAACAAAATTCCGAAGGTAAAGAGACTTTGAACCACTCTTTGGTCATTTATCAGCAATAAGTGTGTTCTGTATTCATTGTTGGAGTTTTTCTTTTAGTTGTGTGATTTTGGGTTGGCGACTTGGACCGCTGCACCTTCGGTTCCTTTCCTCTGTAAAACCGTGAAAGGAACTTTCGGGTATCTAACTGGAGAACTTTTTAATGCCATGATGTCATTCCAATGGATCTAAAAGTGTGCACACTTCTTGCAGTTATCTAGCTCCTGAGTATTTCCAACACGGCAAGATATCTGACAAGACCGATGTTTACGCATTTGGAGTCGTGTTGCTTGAGCTAATAACTGGTCGGAAGCCAATTGAAGCAAGAAGACCATCTGGTGAAGAAAATTTGGTAGTTTGGGTAAGTGTATGCGTCTTTCATTGATAATTAGTTAACTACTAGCAAACCAACCCATTGACTTTTGGTAGTTGTAGCACCTTAAATTCCACAAGCCTCTTTTTCTAAAAATGGGAAGGGAATTTCTAAGTTCCAACCAAGAAATGGACGCTTCTCCATATATCCATTCAAATTTGTGACTCACATACTAAATTCGGGTTTTGGTCAAGCTTGGTTGAGCAACAAATTCTGGTTTAATACAATTTAAGGCATTTAATTTGTCTAATAACCATTTGGACTTCATTTCTGCTTGCACCAATGGCTTGGTTTTATGTTTTTTTTGTGTGTAGGCAAAACCGTTGTTACATAGAGGGATTGAAGCTATAGAGGAGTTGCTTGATTCCAGGCTGAAATATACAAGAAAGAATTCGGTTTCGATGGAGCGTATGATCCGAGCTGCAGCGGCCTGTGTGATCAGTGAGGAGTCGCGAAGACCGGGGATGAAGGAGATACTTTCAATCCTAAAAGGCGGTGAAGGGATAGAACTAAGGGCGTTTTCAAGCCGGAAGAAATCAAATCTTCCGGGTATGATGGATTGTTATCCCCAGTTGCAGCGGACAAAATCTGAGATGAAGAGTCATCTTACGCTTGCGATGCTCGGAGTAACGGAATTTGAAGATGATGATCTTTTGTAGGGAATGTAACAATCCGGAGATATGGTAAGAAACAAACAATAAGAAGGTGGTAAGTGTAGATAGAATTAATTACGGATTTTACCCTTTTTTATAATGGCATTTATGAATTTTGCCATTTTTTGAATAATTTATAGATTTTGCCCTTTTTTAGGCTCCAAAAATATGATTTAACATGCGTTTCATTCGTTATGTTTGGGTTTAGTCGGTTTCATTTGTTCTTAGGGTTTAGTATTTGGTATAATGTATGTATTTTTGCAAAACAAAATCATAAATACGTACATTTTTAAGTGTTAAAAAATGGCAAAATCCATAAATTATTCAAAAAAGGGCAAAATCCATAAATGCCATTATAAAAAAGGGCAAAATCCGTAATAATCCCGTGTAGATATCATTGTAAATGTTTATTGATACCCGGTTAAGATTTTATTTTCCGGTTTGGGTATTGAGAGAGCCGATTCTTCCGGTTTGGTTCATAATCATAAATAAAAGAAGAAAAAATCGGATTTATAGATTACGTGACGAGGTCATATCCCTTTATAATCACAACTTTACATTTATAGTATATAGCCATAAAATTGGAAATAACCTGTCTGATCAAACAACTTTCATGGTCCAAAACCCACAAATCAAATTTGAGAAATTATTCTCAAACACAAATACAGTAAGCAAATAAAGTTGCGTAAGACTTTTAGCTATAACAGAAAACGAGAAAATAAAAAAAAACTTATCGTTATTAACTAACAAACATTTGATATTTTGGAAATTTGTCTTCTTCAAAGTTACTAACTCTTACGATGAGAAATCAAGGTTTTGCAGCAGACGGTTTTTTGGGGTGTCTACACAACCTCTCTGTTGCTCCGGCAACGTGATAAATACCACTTCCACACGATGAAGACGGTGGAGCGGATCCCGAAGAATGAACGGGAATGTGAACTGGAATGCGAAATTGATACATAAGAATTGATATATGAAAAGCCTACTAAAATATGAGATAAAAAGAAAAAAGGTAATATACGATAAAAAATTATTTCATAACCAACAATGAAGCTATAAAGTAAATATTGTACCATTGGTTTAGATTTCTTAAGTGGATTGTTTAAATTAATCTTAGTCGTGTAAAAAATATATCTAGATTATTCATCTCATTTTTAATATTGAGATATGAAACTCTACTAAAAATCTAAAACCATGTAAACTAAAGAGTTTCTTCTGATAAAATTACTAGATGGTGAAACAAGAATGTGTAGCATATTTTATATTTATCTGAATAACGAGATACTAACCTACGTAATGGACTCTAGCCCCCGAGACTGGATCATGAAAGGATAGAAATAGAAGCATAAGAAGCAAACTTAGAAGAAGAGAAGCTAATTGTGTTTTCTTCATTATTGCCATTGCTCAATTTCTGTTTCACATTCACAAATAGCCGGTTTTAGATTGTACATATAGAAAATTTGAAGTTAAGGGTGAATACAAAAATTAAAGCATAAATCAACAACAAGGCTCTTTGTTTTTCTTTTGTAGTTGAATAACGCGGTTTTCTAGAGTAGATGTGACACATCTTAAATATGAAATGAAGACTTTCATATGAAAAAATTTCTTTGATAAGAGATGGATTGGTAAGGTTGACTTGGAGTCAACTCTCTCACTTGACTTTTACCTTTCGACGACTGCTTTCTCTTTTTGACGAAGACTAAAGTTCAGTCGCTGAAAATTCTAGCAATCGTGTTTTGGAATCAGCAACGTCAATAGCAATTGCCGGCGACAGCTTTTTATTAATTCATCGTTGTTCTTACTTCCGTTGCCTTTTATTTGTTTGTCGCGAGAGTAGTCGCCAACGACCTGTTCCCGAACAGGGCCATACTCTTTGTTTTCTTACTTGTTTTGCTTTGATTCGACAAAGCGAAACTGATTGTGATTATTACAAAGAATTTTACGTGATGTTTTTTTAAAAACTTGTATTTACACCTGACGGAAATCTATCTATATAGATGTAGCAATGAAACATCTATATCAGAATTTGTTTTGGATTTTATGCAGAAAATCACACCAAACTTAATAATGAAAATTAAAACCTACAGAAGAGATTGAGAGAGCAAGCAAATTAAACACGCATCGCATCTTTCATATTGTGCATATTTGCAGAGAGAACCATATGTTTATACGGGTTCTATTTTCTCCTTCCAATACAACCTTACTTTCTAATAAAATTGCTAGAACTTCCGACATGATAGTTTGGGTTTGTCTGAAAAACGTAAGAGGTTATTTCATCAACTTTCATCTTCAAATCTTCAAGAACATGTTTCAAACATGTTAATTGAGTTAGGTTGAGTTCTTTTGGAGATTTTTCCCACCACTTCTCAGCGTTCTTGTTTTCTCTTTCATTTTGGACTAACGAATGCTTGTTCTTTTGTTCTTTTTCATTTTCGGCCATCGCCTACAGTAAAATCATATTTTAAACAATTAAAATCATGAATATGAATGTGTAAAGAAGATCCATGAACTAAACACAAATAGAGAACGAGACGATTTTTTCTAGTGTATCACTTATTAAAAATCTTTGGGTGGAATGTTAAAATCAAAGAGAAATTGTGTACATCTTGGAAAGGAGTTTTACCATATATTTTTTCAAATCAAAAACAAATTTTGAAACAGTTATATATTAGTTATTATCAAAAGTGAAAAAAAAAGATTATATTTTGCCACCAATTGAAATTTACCTCAGTTAAGGAATCATTGAGCATTTGAATGTAGAGCTTTCTGTTGCTTTCCACAAGGTTTGTGTTGTTATCTCTTAGAATACGTCCTGAAAAGTGTACAAGTAAAACGTTAATATTTGGATTTCCAAACGAATAAACTTTTTCACCTGGTGAAAACACGATGATCGCAATTTCTACATCACATAACGTGCAAAGTTTACTGGCTTTTTTAAAAAGACAGATCTTCTCTTTGAAAATGTACCTTGAAGGTTTGATTGATTTTTTATTTTCTCTATCTCTATCTTTCTACGACCAAGATTCTTTCTCACCATTTTCTAGATGTTTTGAACAAAGAAAAAGTGAATTGATTGTATTAGAGTATTAGAGGTAATAAGCCTTTGTATTTATAGATTAAATTTTACGAGTAAATATTTTAATTTTTAGAAGTAAATATCTTTTCCTATTTTGATTTACTAGAAATACAATTATAGATTACCATTCTTGGAGTATATAATGGTTTACACATTTTGTCAATAAAAGGTATATAATTATTATATTTTAGCTGTCATATAATCATATATTTATTATTATATATGTTTACAACCTGTCATCGTTTCAATAAATTTGGAGATATTATTTTTTATTACCAACTGTCAAATATAGGAATTATTTATTGGTTAAAGGATATGCACAAAAAATTGTAATATTTTTAATGTGTTTATCTTCCACTACTTTTTCTATAGTCAAAGTGTCAAACTATCAATATCATTTTTTTGACATTTTTTATTAATCAAACTAATAGAAATATGAAGTTTCTTATTTTTATTTATTTATTTCAATGTTCAAAACTTTTATGAAATAATCCATAAATGTAATATCATGTCTAACTCATTTTTGGGTTTTTGTTTTTATATAAATTGACATATTTTAATTTGGAAAAATATGTTTTAATATTCGTAATATAATAGAAATTTAAGTTTTTTTTTTTTTTTGACGTCTAGATTTATTATTTATTGCAAATTATGAGAACTGTTACATAGACGATTCTACAACGGACAATTCCTTCCGACCCTTATTAGATCCACGACAGACGACACTTCTTTCTCCATGCTCTTGACGGACACCTTCAATGATCCACGACCTAACGACACTTCTCTCTCTGCGTAGAATCCTGGCGAACGGCTATAATTGTACTTCGCTGGAGATCTCTTGCACACTTGCCTCATTTAATCTGCAAATTTATTAATAAATCGCAATATCTGGGACTCGAACCCCAGACCTCTTGGTGTAGAAGCATTAATTAACCCTTGGTCAACCAATGGGCCAAGGGGGCTTCCACAGAAATTTAAGTTTGATTGCGACTTTTAAAGGTTTTCTTGCATATTTGATTTTTTAATTGTGATCGCCGACTTTCCAAATTTTTTATTTTGTAATAAAAACAAATAAATTAGAAACCTTTCTAATATTGATCGCCTATTTTTCAATTTTTTAAAAAATTTTGGATGTTGAAAAGAATCAAACTATCCAGATAAATTAATTCTTTGGTACTTCATATGTCACTGCCGACTTTTCAACTTTTTATTGTACCACTAAAACTATCTAAATAAGAAAATTGTCTAATACATTAGTTTGATCGCCGACTTTCAAAATTTTAATTGCATATTAGATAATATTTTTTTTAATATTTTAGCTATGATCCCTAACTTTTCAGGTTTTTTTTGTTTGATAAAAACTTAACAAATTAGATACTTGTCTAATATTGATCGCCGGCTTTTCAAGTTTTTATTTTGGATGTTAAAAAGTATCAACTATCCATGTAAGTTACTTGTCTTATACTTTATTTGTCATCGCTGACTTTCAAAGTTTTTATTATATATTAAGTAATAGTGTTTTGATGTTTTGAATGTGATCGCCGACTTTTAAAATTTTATCGAGAGATAAAAATAAATAAAGTAGATAATTGTCGATATTGGTCGCCAAATTTTCAAGTTTTTATTGTTGGATGTTAAAATGATCAACCTAGCTAGGTAAATTAGTTATATGATACTTTAGTTATCTAAACCCTAAAAATCACCACATGATCTTTTCCTGATTTTTGTCTTCACTCACACAGTTCCGACAATCACTTTCCGAAATATTACCTATCCTGAAAGTTTTCCAACTGAAATACGCTTAACTGTAGAATTCTCTCATGTCGTTTGACTGAAAAGATAAGTGCAGTTTGGTAACATAGGTGGCCAAATCAATTCTTTTAAACTGCTCTGCATGCACTAATATATTTTTGAAACCGGGGTGTTACAAATAACAATAAATAAAGTAGATACTTGTCGATATTGGTCGCCAAATATTCAATTTTTTTATTGTTGGATGTTAAAATGATCAAACTATCTAGGTAAATTAGTTATCTGATACTTTAGTTGTGATCGCCTCCTTTTCATAATTTTATCATAATTAAAAACATCTAAAGAAAAAAGTTTTTGAATACTTTTTTTTATCCCCAATTTTTAAAGGTTGAGATAACTCAAATATTTTAATTATAATTAGTGTTTTAGTATCAAATTTCTAATTTAATTTTGAAGAAAAAGGTGAATTAATATTAGTGGATATAAAATTAACTTATAATATTGATTTATATTTCAAAAATTTTGTTTTTAAAAGTTTAAATTTATTCCTATTCTAAATTATTAAAAATCGAGCTATAAATTACCATTGTAGGAGTTCTATATATTTTGTCAGTAAATTTATCTAATTCATTATATTTTATATTTTGTATCATCAATTTATTATTTAATTATCTATATTGGTAAACTTTTATATAAATGTTTGAAAACTCTTTACAGTTTATATCACATCATTTTCGAATATAGATACAAAAATCTTTGGACCGTGATTTATACCTTTATACTGCATGGGCTATGATTCTCCACTTCTAATTGCTACATATGAATATGATGATGATAATGTATACAATTCTCGTGTTTATTTTTATATTTTTTCTTCTTAATTCATTTTATATTGGTAGGAATCTTTCCCCCACTATTATATGATAAATTTTGGCATTTTGCCGACTTACCAAGATAGTTCTTTCTTTTTTACTCGATTATGGTATTCACTAGTATTAAGCCCGTACTCCGTACGGGGCAAAACTTTAATCAAATTTATAGATAAACCAATTAATTTTTAATTTTCTTTACCAAATAAAACTTATGACTCACTAAGCTCCATTACATCAACTACACAAATCTGTTTTGTCTCCAGGCTTAAACCGTACCATTCACCGTCTGTTCTCAACACCCGTCCTTTCCCGATCTCGTCTCCTCTCTCATCCATAAGCCTCACTTGTTGCCCTTGCTTTATCCCTTCTTCTGATGATGACGATGATCTCAACAGATTCTCTCCTGTTTTCGGGGTTTTTGATGCAGTCAGATCTTTAAATGGTGTTGATGGTTTCTGCTGCCAAGTGTTTTCATCTCCAGGACTCTCTAGTAATTCCCCTGAGCTGTAATTATCACAAACTGTCCCCGTTTGCTTGTTCGTCCGAGCGAGTTTCGCTTTTCGGTTATTCAGTCTGAGAATAAACTATCAATGGCAGATAACGTATAGTGGTTACAATTCTCTTTACAGTTGACAAAGAGAAAAAAAAAATGAATTGATTTGATTGATGAGAAGGAAAAAAAAGAAGAAGAAGATTTGATTTGATTCTTTGAAAAGACATGAGATTGATGAAACTCTAAGATCAGAGCATGTAGCAACTTGAAAATTTTTACCCGATAGAAGTTGTAGGAAAGAGCAAGGAAGAAAGAAATTTGTAAGCTTTTTGTATGAAATAATGTTGTTGTTCTATTGTTGAAGAAGAGAGACAGAGAGGAGATATTGAGATCGTGGGGGTGAAGAGGGGAAACAGTTGCAAGGAAATTTTTTTTTTTAGTCTTTTTTTTTTTTGTTGAATAGCAAAAGTTTAATTGTTTAGAAATTTGAAAGTGTAAAAATTGGGACTTAAGACAGGTGTCGGATGGAGAGGGTTGCAGTTTTTTTAGAATTGACTTGTGATTTATTATATAAAGATTAGTCTTTTATTTGTGTGCCATTGATATTTTTATTCAAATTTGGTAAAACTACACACGCTAGCGGAAAAAAAAATTATTCCTAAAACTAAGCCATACGAAAATGTTGAAATTCTCAGAAAAAAACCCTAAAAACTAGACAATTTTAGAAAAGACTAGAAACATTTAAATCATAATTGCTAAATCTAAAATTTTACCAATTAAATCTTAATCTTAGTCACTTATTCTTTTCTAAGATCGGAAATTGTCTTGATGTAGATGCGATAGACTTCTGAACTTGAAAGATATACTCTACAAAAGTTTGATTTAGATAAAACAAAAACTAATCAAATCCTGATCATATATGGTCTTGAACTCGAGTGGCGGAAACTAGAAAAGTCGCACAACCGCTTCACCTACCACTGTGGATGTAGAAAGTTGTAAATCGACTGGTTGAAAGCAAAGATATGTAAACAGTGAAAGTTGGAAAAAGAACATCAACATAACATTGGACCAAAACATCGAACCACCACCACACAATCTTAGAAACGAAATATGTCAATTATAATCCAACCGAAATTGGAGTAATGAAAACCTCTACTTTGTGGTTGAAATACATATCTCTCTTCCTTTTTGATGAGTGTGCCTAGAATTTATGGTGTTTGTGATCTCCTTAATATAATCAGAAATTTAATCAAAAAGTAATAAATAGATATTGTATATCATGTTATTAATTTTAGAAGTCATAAAGTTATTAGACCCAATATTAGCCCACAAAAAAGGTTATCGAAGCGGTCTTGACGTATATCATACATAGTCATTGAATGGGAAGGATAAAATTCTCTCGCAAGTACAAGTAAACAAAGTACAGTATGACATCAAGTATATACTTGTTTCAAAAATAATTCCATATAATGATAAACATGTATGATCGTAGAAATGAAAACAATAGAAAACTTCATAGAATAAATGGTTCAACTTTCTTGACCCAATGTACTTCATTAAAAGTCTTACAACAGCAAGAACAAAAAAAAATAGAAGAGAAAGTAAGAAAATAACAAAAAAGACACAAGAAACTAATAGAGACTTCAAAAGTCACACAATGAGAGAGGCAAACTAATAGTGACGAGGCCCATAGTAAGGATGAGCTTGTTTAAACTCTTAGTCTTGCATTTGGCTATCATTGTATACGATTCATAATAGGCCTGGGAATTCGAACCGAACCGATTTGTCCGAACCGAACCGAACCGAGGTTTGGGCAAATCGGTTCGGTTTCTCTTAATTAAGTGTAACCGATCGGAATGGTTTCAATTTTGGATCGGTTAACCGAGATTTTCGGTTCGGTTCGTCCGAACCGACCGGTTAACCAAAAAAATAAAAAAAACCCCTAACCTAATACTTAGCCGTCATTACCCATCTACAATTCTTTTTTGATTCACCTTCTCTTGAATCTCCTTCTTCCTCTGCGATTCATCATCACCATCATCGTCTTCTTCTATGATTAGTTTGTTTCTTCTTTGATTCATCATCTTCTTCTTCGCTTTATCTCATCATCTTCTTCTTTGATTACTCATCCTCTTTTCGATTCGTCATCTTTTCGATTCATCATCTTCTCCTTCGATTAGGACCATCATCATCATCTTCTATACTGCGATCTTCATCCTTTAGATCTCGTCGTCGATGTGTTTCCAGTCTCCACGACTCCACTCCTAGATTCACCCTTCTATCGTTTTCTCTCTCTCACGGCAAACCTCAGGTTCTTTTTTTTTTTTTTTGTGTGGGCCAAAGACCAATTTTTACAAAGCCCAAATCAAATGGCCCAAAAATTATAAACCGAATAACCGAAGTGCAAAACCCGAAATAACCGTGTCCGAACCGAACCGAACCGAAATTGTTAGTCGGTTAGTTCGGTACAGATTTCATTTTCCGAATAACCCGAAAAACCGACTAACCGAAACCGAAAAAACCGATCGGCTCAAAGTCGCAGGCCTAATTCATAACATCTAATCCAAACGGCATCGTTTGAAAAGGAGAGGGATTCCGTTTTGATCAAAGAAATTATGGTTTGTGGAGATATTACCACCACTAACAGTCGCTAGAGAAGCAACATTGCTAGAACTTCCGACATAATAGTTTGGGTTTGTCTGAAAAACGTAAGAGGTTATTTCACCAACTTTCTTCTTCAAATCTTCAAGAACATGTTTCATACATGTTAATTGAGTTAATTTGAGTTCTTTTGGAGATTTTTCCCACCACTTCTCAGCGTTCTTGTTTTCTCTTTCATTTTGGACTAACGAACGCTTCTTCCTTTGTTCTTTTTCTTTTTCGGCCATCACCTACAGTAAAATCGTATTTTAAACAATTAAAATCATGAATATGAATGTGTAAAGAAGATCCATGAATTAAACACAAATAGAAAACGAGACGATTTTTTCTAGTGTATCACTTATTAAAAATCTTTGGGTAGAATGTTAAAATCAAAGAGAAATTGTGTAAATCTTGGAAAGGAGTTTTACCATGCATATATTTTTTCAAATCAAAATTTTTTTTTGAAACAGTTATATATTAATTATTATCAAAATTGAAAAAAAGATTATATGTTGCCACCAATTGAGATTTACCTCAGTTAAGGAATCATTGAGCATTTAAATGTAGAGCTTTCTGTTGATTTCAACAAGGTTTGTGTTGTTATCTCTTAGAACACGTCCTGAAAAGTGTTCAAGTAAAACGTTAACATTTGGATGTCTAAACGAGTAAACTTTTCCACCTGGGGAAAACACGATGATCGCAATTTCTGCATCACATAACGTGCGAAGTTCACTGGCTTTTTTAAAAAGACCAGATCTTCTCTTTGAAAATGTAACTTGAAGGTTTGATTGATTTTTTATTTTCTCTATCTCTATCTTTCTACGACCAAGATTCTTTCTCACCATTTTCTAGATGTTATGAACAAAGTAAAAGTGAATTGATTGTATTAGAGTATTAGAGATAATAAGCATTTGTATTTATAAATTAAATTTTACAAGTAAATATTTTAATTTTTAAAAGTAAATATCTTTTCCTATTATGATTTACTAGAAATACAATTATAGATTACCATTCTTGGAGTATATAATGGTTTACACATTTTGCCAATAAAAGGTATATAATTATTATATTTTAGCTGTCATATAATCATATATTTATCATATATGTTTACAACCTGTCATAGTTTCAATAAATTTGGAGATTTTATTTTAATTACCAACTGTTAAATATAGGTATTATTTATTGGTTAAAGGATATGCACAAAAAATTGTAAGATTTGTAATGTGTTTATCTTCCACTACTTTTTCTATAGTCATAATATCGATATCATTTTTTGACATTTTTTATTAATCAAACTAATAGAAATATGAATTTTCTTATTTTTATTTATTTATTTTCAATGTTCAAAACTTTTATGAAATAATTCATAAATGTAATATCATGTCTAACTTATTTTTGGGTTTTTGTTTTTGTATAAATTGACATATTTTAATTGGAACAATATGTTTTAATATTCGTAATATAATAGAAATTTATGTTTGATCCCAACTTTAAAATATTTTCTTGCATATTAAGTATTATGTATTTGATATTTTAACTATGATCGCCGACTTTCCAAGTTTTTATTTTGTAATAAAAACACATAAATTAGAAACCTTTCTAATATTGATCGCCTATTTTTCAATTCCTATTAAAAATTTGGATGTTATAAATTAGTTTTCTGGTACTTCATATGTCACTGCCGACCATTCAACTTTATATTGTACTACTTAAACTATCTAAATAAGAAAATTGTCTAATACATTAGTTTGATCGCCGACTTTCAGAATTTTTATTGCATATTAAATAATATTTGTTTGATATTTTTACTATGATCCCTAACTTTTCAAGTTTTTATTGTTTGATAAAAAATTAACAAATTAGATACTTGTCTAATATTGATTGCCGACTTTTCAAGGTTTTATTTTGGATGTTAAAAAGTATCAACTATCCATGTAAATTACTTGTCTCATACTTTATTTATCATCGCCGCCTTTTCAACTTTTTATTAGAATATCAAAAATATCTAAATAAAAATGTTGTCTAATAATTTAGTTCTTGATCGTCGACTTTCAAAGTTTTTATTGCATATTAAGTAATAGTGGTTTGACGTTTGAATGTGATCGCCGACTTTTCAAATTTTTATTAAGAGATAAAAATCTATAAAGTAGATAATTGTCAATACTGGTCGCCGAATTTTCAAGTTTTTATTGTTGGATGTTAATATGATCAACCTATCTAGGTAAATTAGTTATCTGATACTTTAGTTGTGATCGCCTCCTTTTCATAATTTTATCATAATTAAAAACATCTAAAGAAAAAAGTTTTTGAATACTTTTTTTTATCGCCAATATTTTAAAGGTTGAGATAACTCAAATATTTTAATTATAATTAGTGTTTTAATATCAAATTTCTTTTTTACTTTTTTGAAGAAAAAAGGTGAATTAATATTAGTGGATATAAAATTTACTTGTAATATTGATTTATATTTCAAAAAATTTATTTTTAAAAGTATATATTTATTCCTATTCAAAATTATAAAAAATAGAGCTATAAATTACCATTGGAAGAGTATTCGATATATTTTGTCAGTAACTTATAATTCATTATATTTTAATATTTTGTATCATCAATTTATTATTTATAACAAAAAAAAAAGACACAAGAAACTAATAGAGACTTTAAAAGTCCACAATGAGAGACAAACTAATAGTGACGAGGCCCATTGTTAGGATTTGGCTACAATTCATAACATCTAATCCAAACAACAACATTTGAATAGGAGTAGGCATTCCGTTTTGATCAAAGAAATCCTTGTTTGTTGAGAACTTGAGATATTACCACCAGTAACAGTTGTTAGAGCAGCATCATTGCTAGAACTTTCGACATAGTTGTTTGGGCTAAAAAAATTGAGAGGCTACTTCATCAACTTCAAGAACATGTTTCATACACGTTAATTGAGTTAAGTTGAGTTCTTTTCGAGAGTTTCTCCACCACTTGTCAGCGTTCTTGTTTTCTCCTTCATTTTGGACTAATGAATGCTTGTTCTTTTGTTCTTTTTCTTTTTCGGCCATCACCTACGATAAAATTGTATTTAATACAATTAAACTCACGAATATGAATGTGTAAAGAAAATCCACGGATATGTCTTAATTAAACACAAATAGACAACGAGACGATTTTTTCTAGTGTATAACTTATTAAATATATGTATGTAGAATGTTAATATCAAAGAGAAATCGTGTGTATATTTTGAAAAGAAGTTTTACTATAACACCCCAACCGTCTTTACAAGTGAACACCTATGTCCTCTCTTAGGCCCGTGGACTCACCTCTGTCCGACTTTCTGTCTGCTACGTCCGGGAGACTTTAAAGACTTGTTTACCGATCCTACAAATCACCACATGATATTTCTCCTGTTTTGTCCTCACTCGCACGATTCCGACTATCACTTTCCGGAAGGTCACCCATCTTAAAACTTTCTCAGCTCAAGCATGCTTAACTGTAGAGTTCTCTCAGGACGTTTGACCGAAAATATAAGTGCACTTCGGTGACATAGGTGGCCGAATCAATTATTTTAAACCTCTCTGCATGTACCACCATATTCCTGAAACTGAGTTGTTACATTTACCATATATTTTTCAAATCAAAAGCAAATTTTGAAACAGTTATATATATTTTTTCCATTTCTTGCTGATTGTTCTATTCCCTCCTCATGTTCTATTTCTATTCCATTTCTTCTCAAATTCTTCTTTCAAATCTGATTTTAGTAGCATGACCGCCTTCATTGGTCTTGATGGTTGGCTTTTTGTTATTGATTTTGGTAGAGAATCGTGGTAGAGAAAGGGATGGTTTCGGTTTTTGGAAGGGTCTTGATTTTTTCTTGATGTTTGTTATAGTTGTAGTTCCGTGTTTATAATTTTGGGACATCTCTAACTTTACTGTTTTACCATATCTATGTGGGCTTTGAATTAAGGAGTACCAAGGCCCATTTACTTGTTTTTCTTTGAAATGTTTGTGTAACACACAATCCCATGTGTTTGTTATTGGACAAAGCTGACGAACATATCAAGTGACTTAAGATCCACGTAACTGCAACCGTTTAGGTTACAGTTCAAAGATTTGAAACCTATACACATGGTTTCATAGAAAAAAAAAGATAAAAACATGGAAGCATAAGACGGTAACTAAACCAAGTTTTCGGTCCATCTATTCAACAAAGAAAAATAATTGTGGGAACAAGATGAAGTGATGACGTTTATGTTGTCCTTCCATGTGAGTTGCAAAAGGAGAAGAACGAATGCAGATTGTAAAATACCTTGTTACAACTAACAACTAGCTTTAGAAGCCTTTCGTAGGAGGCCCAAGACTAAGCCGTCAACAGTAAAAACTTCAAATCATCGATCACATACTCTCTCTGCTTCATGTGAGATCTATTCTTCGTTTCAAATCATGAGCTTTCTCTGAAACGGAACGGTCCAGCCCTGAGCCAGCAAGGTGAAACATGGGCTTAGGGCCCCCAGAATTTCCAGTTATTTGTATTTAAGAAATAGACCCCCAATTTTATAATTTTTTGCAAAAGAGGCCCCCAATTTTTAAAAACTTTAAACTACCCTAAAATTTGCTTAGGCCCCAAATTTTCAGGGCCGGCCCTGACGGAACTTCACATGGCAAAATAAGCAAATGGTGCAATCTCCCTGTACCAAGTTCATCCCCGAAGTCAGCAGCTCAGAGCAAAATATTCACAACCACATTAGAAGCCGTTAGCACTTCTAGCTCTCTACGGCACAATTAAGACGCAAGGAAGAGTTGAGCGCAAAACAAAGCAATCTTCAAACAAAGGCAATTAGTTGGAACTTTTAGTTCTAAAATCATGCTAGAACGACGTTTATTATAATTGTTACGTACTACAGCTACTTATTGTGTGTGATGTGATAAGCTTTTTACATTAGCGTTGAATGTATAATACAAGTTTTTGGTTTTAGATTTTGTAAAATCCAAGTTATTAGTCATTTAAGATTAGCCACCATACTGTGTTAATCCCAACATTATTTATAGCTATCTAAACCGCGATTCAAATATCCACTGTAGTGCCCACATAGTAAGACCATTGGCTTACATGGCCTCGCTATTACAATATTTTTTAAGGATTTAGTCACATTTGACTTTTAGTAGAGAGATGTGGAGGAGGGACATAGATGTGGTTTCACACATAACATATATAGCTATATATAGATATTCTTTTTTGGTCTTTTTTCTTTGTGTTTTTTTTTTTCTAAATTTTTATTAATGGATATAAGTTATAAAGGAAGAGAAAGGATGAATACCCAACATTCCGGCTCGACTGGCGAAGAGAAAGGACGGATGAAAGATCCACAAATTTATGTGGACCATTTTATTGACCATGTTTCACAACAATTGAATTTAGAGCAACTAATTGCATTGATTGAGCCAATAGATTTTCCTTTTATCATTGGCATCCCCGAGTCGTTCTTATTTTAGTGATGGATATAGATAGAATGGCATAAAATCAAGCATGAACTTTCTCACCCAATTTGCGACAACCCTTTTCAGAGACCAGGTATCACCCCCTTATAGGGGCTAGTTTAGAAACTTAAAATAACACCGAACTTAAGCATTTCGTGTGGAATAATCTATCAGGGTGTTTGTCAACAAACCATACATTATTTTACCGTCACATCAGTAAAGAACAACATTTTCCGGGATGTGGTGTTGAGGAGAAAAAAATAAATCATCTTCTCTTTGAATCCCAGCTGGCTCTTCAAACTTGGGCTCTATCGCTGATTTCATCATCGACTTCCGTCTTCCCTAGTCAATCTCTCTGCTCTAACTTGGACTTTTTTTT